TGTGGGAAAGAAATGCTTATTGTTTGTTGCTGAGACACTGCTGAGCTGTGCTGATCTTTCTTTGGACACCAGGGGCAGATGAGGACTTTAAAACCCTGTTAAAGGACAGGTTTATGCTGGTGGTGAACCAAAGTTTTACTTAGTTCCAGACACTGATATACTGTGTGCTTTTGCCAACAAAGTGGTTTTTATTTTGTTTTGTTTTTTTTACTGCTTCCAAACAGCCCTCCATGTTATCCTATGTGTCCATGCACATACTGACTTACAGAAGTTTTTAGTAGCAGTAGCCTTTACCAGCAGGACAAAAACCCAGGGCTAGTGCTCCCAGGAGCAGCAGCATTTTGCCATTAAAAAAAACTTCATGAGTGTAAACATGCCTAAATGTTTGTTAATGCTAAGTATATTTAGAGCTTGAGCATTAATTCATTTCAAATTGCCAGCATAAATGATTTTTCTAACCAATAAAATGAATTAATGCCCAAGTGCTTGACACCTGTAAACGCACCTAAATGCTTGTAAAAGCGTTAGACACTTTGACAGGCGCCAGGCATTTTTTCTGCTAAAACGCTGCTGCCAAGAGGAGGAGCATTTTTAAAAGGTCCTGTATTCATGAGTCCTTAAAGTGGTTGTAAATCCTTACATAAACCAAGCAAAATGACTCACCTCAGGTGATACACAGAGATGAAACAAATCCTCCTACATAAGTTATACCTATTTATCTGCAGTCTTTTCTTTTCTACATCCGTTTAAAGTGCTGAATTTATAGCTTGTCTGAGAGTTCAGAAAAAGGGGGGAGGAGAGCTGAAGTTACACTCTGCAGAGCTTAGTGAAGAGAGTTCTGAGAGCTGATTGGAGGGAAGAGACACACCCACTCCACACAGGAACAGAGTTGAGGTCCCTCAGCGGCAGACAGAAATGACAGTGCTCTTAAATGAGATAAGTAAACACTTTAGAAGGATATGCTTTGTTCACATTTCATTTTTGAGTTTACAAACGCCTTAAAGTTATTTTTGGCAATCACGTTTGAATGTACTGTTCTTTGCTCATACTAGGCAAAATAGCACGCGAGAAGTTGCTTCTACAGTACCTTCCTCACAAGTCCTCATTGAAGCCCCAACAAATACCTAGTATTTTTTATTGTATTGGGGAACTTATGGTCATATATTATGCAAAATTCAGTGCCAGGTACCTGTGCAGGTAATTGTCCAAATCATGTGTGAACAAGAAGTAGCCTGCTAAATCCTGTGCCCATATTGCCCTTCAGTGTACACCTGCATAGGAATTTCAGGAGACTATTGCTGTCTGAGAGTGGCAGAGTGAGGGGAAGGCATCTTTTGCTGCTTCAAGTGCAGCCGATCTGTTATACTGACTACTGCAGTATAACCACAGGGTCGCTACTAACTGTAGGGATTTACAATTACATTTCATTCAAATAATTCCATACAGGAACATAGGACAACTACAATATGTATTTAGTGTTTTAAAATCCATTGGAAGTCACTACACATTGTTCAGGGGGTATCTTCCCAGATGCACTGCAGCAGAGTAACATTAGAGAGGCAAAAAGTAAACAGGTCTTGAGCAGCAGTATGTGTCCAGACAAGAGAAGCCTATTCTGCCTTCGATGTATTCAGTGATTTAGATTTCTAAATATAATATATATATATTTGGCACTGCCCCAATCCTACTATGACAAATGTAAGGTTGCACAGTACGAAGAGAATTTTAACCATGGAACATTTAAGATTTATTGGAGAAAACAAAAGAAATTCATAAAGGTGTTTCCACAAGCATAAATTCTTCTGACAGTTAAAGTGAAAATTGGCTTTGAAAGATTGAAGATGACAGAAACATAATGAACTAATAATTCATTTGAAATGTGCCACTGACTTATTTGATTGCAAGCAAGATTAGTTAATTTATGTTACGTTTTTAATATCCCAGCAATAGGTGTTACATGAGAAAATTAGAACTAACACATACCTCAGTAAATCCAGTAGTCCTTGGGTATAACATTTGAAAGTATTAAAAATGGTGGCACATTCACTAGCAAACCAGAATGAAGGTGTGCTCAGAAAATGGAATGACTCATTCCAATGAAGCGGCTGGTGTTGATCTACTAAAGGAATTGAGCCTGTTTACTGAACTTCTGAAGACTGTTCAGTGAACCTAAAAAATACTGTGAAAATGTTTTTACATTCAAAATCTAATTAAGTTGAAAAAAAAAGTTTTTTATTTGCAAATGACTGGATGCTTTAAGGCTCCTTTTCACATGGGCATTATAGTGTTTTGTGCATTATCTCAGCTGCCTGTCAAAACCAGGCCCAGGCAATGATCACCAGACCACCAGGCAGCCCAATGCACATTTTTCGTGACTATGAAGCTGAGCTTCGAAGTGTGGACAGAGAAATAAAATAGAGCAGGTTGCTGTTGTAGGTGATAACGCTTGCCGCTGTGCCCACAAATGTGGCTGCAGTGTAAAATCCCTTTTCAAACAGGTGTGCAGGGGACAGCATATCCCTGTCCCGATTCTGGGTGCCAGAAGAAACTATACAGGATATTATTAATGAGCAACACACATATAATAGATTGTACGCCCCTTGAGGGTTAGGGACTAATTTGAATGTACAATATATATGTAAAGCGCGGCGTAAATTGATGGCGCTATATAAGTACCTGAAATAAATAAATAAATAATAGAGGGACAAGCAGTTATCACACAGTGCCGATGAGCCTACGCATCCACAGGTTGTAAAGTGTGCAGGGGATCCAGCACTTTAGCACTGTGCAGGACTGCTGGAAGATGCTGTATTCCCGGTGACATGGGGCCGAGCCGAGACTGTGGGACGCTGAGACGTGCCTGCCGGAAGTAATGTCAGCATTGTAACCGGAAGGGGTGTGGCTAATTGTCATTAATAAAATCCTGTATAGTTTCATGCTGCACCCAGAGCGGCGTTTTTGTCTTTTGTTTGTGTGTTATTGCAGAGATCACTTCATGTCCTTAAGGAGCTGCCTCCCAGTGCCTTCACTTGGTTCCTCTGAGCCTGCAAGATGGTTGTCAGGAATGGACGCGCCAATAGTGGTGGGACTCACCTGCCTTGTGGTTTGCAGTACCAGGACTGGCCAGCGGTTGCTCTCAGCAACCAGAGGCTCACTTCTGCAGTCAGCCAAAACACCTGAGGCTGATTGCAGGAGGTGCATATAAGGAATGGCCAGACTTGCAATCAGGGCCTTGGTGTATGTTTTCCCAAGAGCCCCTGTACCTGCATCCTGTCTGCTTCCTGTCTGATCCTGCTTGATTCCTGACTCTGATTGAACTCCGCCTGTCCTGACCTCTGCTATCCGCCTGTCCTGACCACTCTCCAGTCTGCTCCTTTGGTACCTTGTCTGCCTGATTGTTCCTGACCCGGCCCCTCCGACTACGCTTAGTATTGTTCTTTTGTTATCTGTTGGGGGTTTTGGTTTGGTTTGTTTGCACTGTGTTTATGTTTAGTCTTGCACTGCATTTATGTATTGTTTAGTCTTAAATAAATTATATTGTTTATACTATATCTGAAGCCTGCGTTTCCCTGTGTCAGTCCCCACACCTCTGGTCATATCCGTGGCCCTGACAATGGTGTTCCATCCTATGCGACACCTGTGCTACTTGCTTGTTTTTTATCCTGTCTCAATTGCCTGCTAACAAATTGACCCACTGCAGGGTGACAATGCCGCAAGGACCATGTGAAAGAGGTTTACAGGTCTGTATACTTAGTAAGCTAAAGCCTAATACATATTATGATAAAATCAGACGACGATCTTCCGATATCCACGAAATGTGTATGATCATGATGTAGTCAGAATGGTATTGACTTCTAAAAAAATTCTCGGCTGACAAAGGCAAACGTAGTTACATATACTAACGTAGTAGAAGAGGAAGTGTAGGGTCATTCTTTGCTTCTGATCTTGTGCGCTTTTTTCTATTCAATTGTTTCCGTACAATTGCTGAACGCATTGAGCAAAAATCAGACGTGTTCATGCAGGATAAAAATTTTCTAGCTTGTTTCCTCAGGTTTTGTCCCCTGAAAAGTTGGAGCCAGTTGTCAAGAGCACTATTATTAATGATCAGATAATCGGCTGATTGTTCCTTAAATGGAAATGTTTGTACAATTTTCTTGTGTGTACAGGCCATAAGACAGGCCACACATTATTCAACCAGAGGGTTGAATGAAAAAAAAAAAAAATATGCTGATTGAATCCCCCATCCACACATTCAAGGTGAATGGGAGCATCACTCCCACTGTTCTATTGTGTTCTGACGGCAGGAACCCTCACCTGTTGACCGAACACAACGATCATTCTTTCAGGTTATCGTCAGCAGCACTAAGTGTTTGGGAAAAAATGTTTGTACAGAAGTCGATCGATAGATTGACTTCTGGACCACCAGGGTGCCCATAAATGGATCGAAAATTCAGCCAGTCCCTGCTAAACATTTCAAATTTCAATCCATGTATGGCTGGCATAGCCAAAGGCATTAACGTGACACTCCACACTAAAAGTGCTACATCTTCCTGTGAATTTAATGGCCAGAAATGCTTAGTTTACATTGGCAGTGCATGTTTTGCATCTATGTTATTTCCCACACTGCTCATGCTCTTTGCAGAGGAAACCCAATGAATGAACAGCTTTCCAGTTACTGCAGCAAACATGGAAGCGTGCACTGACCAGTTTGGCTCAGTATGCTTTTTCCTATTACTACCTGCATGTACTAAACCTGACTTAGCATGGCCTGTATAAATCTTTGACAGGTGGCACCACTAGTTTACATCTTTGCATTTATTACAATAAAAAATATAGATAAAACAAGCAAGAAAAATCTGAAAATCTCATGAAAAAAGTACACTATACTTTACCTTAAACCTTGATATGCTACTAAATTAAGACCACTGTTTCTACATAAAGTTTAAAATATAACTCCATTTCTGTTGAAAACAAAAACAAAAAAATTCCTCTGGGTGATCTACACTATATTGCCAATGGTATTGGGACACCCCTCCAAATCACTGGATTCAGGTGTTCCAATCACCTCCATGGCCACAGGTGTATTAAATCAAGCACCTAGGTATGCATATTGCTTCTACAAGCGTTTGTGAAAGAATGGGTCGCTCTCAGGAGCTCAGTAAGGCTGGCCATACATTATACAATTATCTGCAGATTTTTGGTTTAGATTTACCAAAAACCATATAATAGGAGGACAAACCTAAACAACACTTTCAGTTGTATCCAATTAGGCAGGCCCTTGCACTACATAGTTGAAGGTAAATCTAAAGGAAATTGGGCAGAAAATCTGCAGATAATTGTATAATGTATGGCCAGCCTAACTCCAAGCGTGGTACCGTGATAGGTTGCCACCTGTGCAATAAGTCCATCCATAAAATTTCCTTGTTACTAAATATTCCATCAAATGTTAGTGGTATTTTAACAAACTGGAAGCAACTGGGAACAACAGCAACTCAGTCACCAAGTGGTAGGCCACGTAAAATGACAGAGCGGGGTCAGCACATGCTGAAGCACACTGTGTGCAAAAGTCGCCAACTGTCTGCAAAGTCAATAGCTAAAGACCTCCAAACTTCGTGTGGCCTTCAGATTAGCACAACAGTGCATAGAGAGCTTCATGGAATGGGTTTCCATGGCCGAGCAGCTGCATCCAAGCCTTACATCTCCAAGTGCAATGCAAAGCGTCAGCTGCAGTGGTCTAAAGAATACCACCACTGGACTCTAGAGCAGTGGAGACATGTTCTCTGGAGTGATGAATCACACTTCTCTGTCTGGCAATCCAATAGACGTGTCTGGGTTTGGCGGTACTTGCCTGACTGCAATTTGCCAAGTGCAAAGTTTGGTGTAGGGGGGATTATGCTGTGGGGCTGTTTTTCAGGGGTTGGGCGTGGCCCCTTATTTTGGACAATTTCATGCTCCCAACGTTTGTGGGAACAGTTTGGGGATGGCCCCTTCCTTTTCCAGCATGACTGCGCACCAGTGCACAAAGCAAGGTCCATAAAGACATGGATGAGCAAGTTTGGGGTGGAGGAACTTGACTGGCCTACAAAAAATCCTCAACCCGATAGAACACTTTGGGATGAATTAGAGTATAGACTGCGAGCCAGGCCTTCTCGTCTGACATCAGTGCCGATGTCACAAATGCGCTTCTGAAAGAATGGTCAAACAGTCCCATAGACACACACTGTGGACAGCCTTCCCAGAAGAACTGAAGCTGTTATAGCTGCAAAGGGAGGGCCAACTCAATATTGAATCCTATGGGGACTAAGCCTGGGATGCCATTAAAGTTCATGTGCATGTAAAGGCTGACGTCCCAATACTTTTGGCAATATAGTGTGTATACAATGCAAGGATTTAACAAACTATGTTGCAGATTCCTACCTTTAGTTATTCTGAAGAAATAGCGTTTTGTTTGTCTGTTTATGTGGAAAGTGAATCTGTATGGGAGTGGCTTTATAATTATCAATCAGCTGCTACACCTACAGGGCTCCAATGAGAAAAATGGTAGGTTCTGCATCGCTTTAGAAATGATTTCCTTTTGTATCTCACCAAAAATTACATTGTTGTTGTAGGGGATGCCAAAAATGCGACTTGTATCTTAGTGCAGACTTCTGGGACAATCAGAAAGCCAATCACACAAGCAGGAAATTACATTTTTTTAGGGGGCATTCTGTACACCCATCTGTAGACAGAGCGCCTCCAGGTAGCCATATTGCATTGCATTTTACATAAAATTACAGTGCTGTAGAATGAAAAGGAAAGGTAATTTTCAATAACATTCAATTACAATATGACTTGCATATTGTATGAGTTGTAATTGTATACAATTTTTTTTTTTTTTAACCACGAAAATGAAGTTACCCTTTAAATTATCTATGTACATGGGGGCAGCCATTTTAGTCCTCTAATCTCTCCACTGCTTAGAAACAACATACATTCTGCAGTAATGCATTATAGCCAAAGACAATGAATCCTAGGCAGGAACAGGAGATTTTTTTTATTGTGACAAAAGGGAGGTAACATGATATATGCTTCTATGATTGACATGAAATATGATTTTTCTTTTTAATAGATCAACTTCAAATCTGTAGTGTAAGAAATATACAGCTGGCTGGCTGTCATCCTGGTGCAAGGGTCACAATGCTTTCTGAGTCATTAACGTAGAAGAAGCATGCAGCAAGTGAAGCAAGAAGCCCTGATCTGAACACTTATGCTAGGTCAGTTAATCAGAAACTATTGAACCTTTAGGAGCAACAAACACACTTAAATGTCATTAAAAATAATCAGCAATGACAACCTTTTTTTCAGCACATGGCTCCTTTAAAAACATAATGGAATATAAATACCTAGTAAAGCAGACATATTCTGGAAGATCCGAAGAAGCTCAGGGGTTACTGAAAGACAATTTTCCAGCGTTGCTAACCTAAAAATAAACACAGGAGACCATTGTAATATCATAGGTTTAATGACTGACTGATCAGAGTACAAATACAAACACAAAAGTGTCCCCAGCCCTCACTGTTAATAGACGTAGGTATCTGGAACTGCAGCAAGTGTTCCACTGAGACACTGGTACACAAATGTAGAAATTGTCCAGCAAACCATAAGTATGGACACAGCACTTGCTATAAGACTTAAAGGGTAAGTTGGCCCAGTTTAGGGTCCTCCAAGCTTGTTCCCACCACAGAATTCATTCATGGTCAGAAGCATGCTTGGCATTTGGTACTATGTTTGGACACGTTAATGCCTGTCATAATAGAATCATAGTAAAATATAATTGCCTGGTTTAGCTGTTTTCAGCAAGACCGGAAAACAAAATCCTTACCTATAAGTAGTAAGCAGACACAAGTGCATACCTCTGCACATCCTGCCTTTTAAACACATAAACCTGTACATAAATCTCTTGAAACATGAAATCTGAAAATTATGTTACACACACATATTCAAACCACCATCTAATGATTTCTAAAGACTTCATATTCTACAATTATAAAAAGGTTTGCAGAACTGCAGCCACTGCTTGCAGCCTGGTGACAACCTTCCTCTAGCCTTGGATGTTGGCAAGTGGGTGGCTTATGTAACCGCACTTGAAGTTGGTTCAGTCATCCTCTAGCTTTTGCCATAGTGGGCAAGTATAAACAGCATATTATGGCCCCCCATCGTCCAGGGGTGCAAACTATGTGTGATCTCCCTTGTTGCCGCTGCTTTCATCTTCTCCCAGTAGCAGTATTTGCCCATTTTGATTGGTCAGGGTGATGGAGCCATGCACAGTGGCCAGGAAGCGAAAGAGGGAGTGCACTGAGGAAGGAGTGTCTGTGACTGCTACATGGATCGGCCACAAGCACTGACAATTTTGGTGCAGCTACAAATAAAATCTACCCTAACTATTCCCTTTGCAAGTTTAGTTCCAAGTGAAGTTGCAAACTAAGATACCCAGCCTCTTCACCAAAATTTCGGAAAGAAACAAGCACGTGTAGGTATGTAATTCAATTTGCCAGCACAAACTGCAAGACAAAACCTTTACTCTGCATATATACACCCATTAGCCATAACATTATGACCACCCACCATAACTGGTCAAGGCATGGACTCCACTAGACCTCTGAGGGTATGCTGTGGTATCTGGCACCAACCCACCAGTAGCAGATCCTTTAAGTCCTGTAAGTTGCAAGGTGGGGCCCTAATGGACTGGACATATAATTCCAGAAAATCCCACAGTTGATCGATTGGATTGAGATTTGGAGAATTGGGGGGGCCAAGTCAACAACTCAAACTAGTTGTGGTGTTCCTCAAACCATTCTTGAATTCACCAGACCAAGCCAGATTCTTCCATTGCTCTGTGGCCCAGTTCTGATAGGTATGTGCCCATTGTAGACACTTTTGGCTGTGGACATGGGTCAATAAGGGGGCACCATGTGGCCCCATACACTACAAACTGAGATGCACTGTGTGCCCTGACACCTTTCTATTGGAACCAGAATTAACTTTTCCAGCAATTTGAGCTACAGTATGTTAGGTCTTCTATTGGATTAGACCAGAGGTCTCCAAACTGTGGCCCGGGGGCTGGATGTGGCCCTTTGCCAGCCTTTAACCAACCATTGGGGCACTATTCCTCCCACTGACACCAACAATGGTGCACTATTTCTTCCACTGATACCAACGATGGGTTACTATTCCTTCCACAAATATCAATACCTTTTACTGACCCCCAACCCCAAGGCCATGTTTATTCTCAAGGATCCTGGTCCCGGGACATTTCTACCCCCACTGACCACAATCCGGCACCCCTAAAGTCTGAAGTATAAAGTCTGAAGTACAGTAAACTGGCCCTTTGAATGAAAAGTTTGGAGACCCCTGGATTAGACTACAGCCTTTGCTCCCCATGTGCATCAATGAGCCTTGGCTGCCCATGATCTTACTACTGATTCACAAGTTTTTCTTCCTTGGACCACTTTTGGTAGGTCCTGACCAATGCAGACTGGGAACATCCCAAAAGAGTTGCAGTTTTTAAGTTGTCCTGACCCTGTACTCTAGCCATTACAATTTGGCCATTGTCAAAGTCACTCAATTCCTTACACTTGCCCACTTTTTCTGTTTCCAACACATCAATTTCAGGGGCAACATGTTCACTTGCTGCTTAATAAATTTTTTTATTTTCATCTGGCAAACCTGTGAATCACACACCTCCTGTCCAATAGTGAAAAAACTCACTTGAAAACTATCTATGTAGGATTAGTTATCAGCAGACAAGGCAGTCGCACTAAGTTCAGAATACTGTCAGGATCCACCTGTCTTTCTGACTGACAGTTGGTTCTGCTCGAGCACTAGAGTTTGCCAGATCCAATCTCTCCCCAGCATGGCGCTCCAGTGGGCAGACCAAGAGCAAACTAATCAGAGGTCATGTGACATTGTGGGCTAGCCACAGTGTCACGCAAATGTGACAGCATGGAGTTATGTATGTTTTTTGTATACCCCATAAGTCTCCTTTAAATGCCCAAATGGAGGGTTACTTGCTATTGGGGTATTTTAGAGAAGAGGATTTTTGCTCGATAAAGTAGCTACAAATTTTCCACTTGTTCTGAGTTCCAGAAACACTCCTCTAAAATACTATTACTGAGAACAAATGTGTCTAATTATGAGATGATTAAAGTCTTACACATAGGGCCCAGATTTTACAGGGGCTGAGCAGACTCTCATGTTTAATTTATAGTTTCTATATATAGGGGGAATCTTTACTAGTCCAAGCAAACATAGGATGTTTCATATTTTTTCCTAAGGCTCCATGCACACTAACTTAATTTTAAGTTCCTAGCAGTTAGTTATGAGCGATATTTTTCTGCCCCTAGAAGCAAATAATGTTTTCCTATGTGTTCATACACACTATTGTATGCTAGAAGTGTTTTTCAAGCTTCAGTTTCTAGCAGTAGAAAAGAAAGTGCTTTTATTTGGGAGCGATTTTGTGTTTTTGGGAGCGATCTGCCAGCAGAAAAAAAACGCTGAACACTCCTAAATGCTAAACACTTTTAACAGCTTTTTCTAGCTTTTTTCCCCCACATGTGCTGTAAAAACGCTACAAAAAAAACGCTATTACCAGCGTTTATTGAGCTTAAAAAAGCACTGGTGTGCATGGAGACTAAATGTAAAATAATTTGGTATTTCTTTAAAGTGATAATACACTAATGTATTATATCTCTTATCTGCAAAGATGATAGGTGAAACCCAGT